TTCTTTCAACAATTCTCATTTGGTAAATTTTCTGTCAACAATTTTCATTTGATAAATTTTCTTTCAACAATTTTCATTTGATAAATTTTCTTTCAACAATTTTCATTTGATAAATTTTCTTTCAACAATTTTCATTTGATAAATTTTCTTTCAACAATTTTCATTTGATAAATTTTCTTTCAACAATTTTCATTTGATAAATTTTCTTTCAACACAATTTTCATTTGATAAATTTCATTTGATAATTTTTCTTTCAACAATTTTCATTTGATAATTTTTCTTTCAACAATTTTCATTTGATAATTTTTCTTTCAACAATTTTCATTTGATAATTTTTCTTTCAACAATTTTCATTTGATAATTTTTCTTTCAACAATTTTCATTTGATAATTTTTCTTTCAACAATTTTCATTTGATAATTTTTCTTTCAACAATTTTCATTTGATAAATTTTCTTTCAACAATCTTCATTTGATAAATTTTTTTTCAACAATCTTTCATTCTATTTCTGTAAAAAAGTCTGTACTAACTCTTCAAACTTAATGTTTGAATGTAAAGTAAGTTTGTATAATAATATAATAATTGTTTTCATTTCTTATATTCCAAAAATTTCATTCAAAGTATTTAAAAATACAAAATACAATTTTTAAAAAAGTAAGTCGAACACCATAACTAGCTTTCATCTAATATTCAATAATAAATTAGCCGGACCTACATATTCATCTATTTAAATACCATTCAAACTTTATACCATTGAAACATAAAAATCACAAGTAAATCTTGAGTTCAATTGTACTAAAATTCTTACCAAACCATTTCAGTAAGTCATTTAAAAGTTGCGAAAGTACCTCGTTTCAGTAGTACAACCCTGTTTTAATCAGACCGTTCCAGTTTTAAGTAGTATAAGACTTCATACAACCGACACGTACGAATGATACAAACGATTAATCCTCTACAAACAGTAGTCACTTGACACATCTTAAGCTGTATACGATTAACTCTGTTGGTGCATATTCAATGTTTTTTAACACGTGTTTGATCAAACTTTCATTTTATCACTGAAACTCGTTTACAAGCCTCTTATTTTAATTTACGAAATGTGTTAAGGTTATTTTTTTTTAAACTGTAATTTTTACTGAAATGAGGTATTATGGTGACTCATTTGTTTATTTATTTTTAATTTCAATTTATAAATGCATTAAATAAATCAATTTTCACATAAAATTTCAAAGAACACTTTATTTTATCTCTTACATAATTTGTAAATTTAATTTCGTTTGCTTTACTTAAACAGTAAATTAATTTTCTCAAGTCACAATTATTTACAATTTTTTAAAAATCCAAGGGAATTACAAATGACATCTGATAGACAGCTTGACAATATTTTTTTATAAAATAAATTTCATATATAACAACCTTTACAATTAATCAACACCATGATACATTCTTAAGCATCCCCAAAAAAGAACCTTAATACTAGAAAATTTCTTAATACCAGACGAGGAAGGTAAATTTTTAACACCCCAAATTTCCCTAAATTTAATATCCCTATATCACCATATTAACAAAGTTAAATTTCGACTTCAGTAACGCGCTGGATTACTACGCGTTGGATAACCACACGCTGCATTACTACATTTTCTTTCAACAATTTTCATTTGATAATTTTTCTTTCAACAATTTTCATTTGATAATTTTTCTTTCAACAATTTTCATTTGATAATTTTTCTTTCAACAATTTTCATTTGATAATTTTTCTTTCAACAATTTTCATTTGATAATTTTTCTTTCAACAATTTTCATTTGATAATTTTTCTTTCAACAATTTTCATTTGATAATTTTTCTTTCAACAATTTTCATTTGATAATTTTTCTTTCAACAATTTTCATTTGATAATTTTTCTTTCAACAATTTTCATTTGATAATTTTTCTTTCAACAATTTTCATTTGATAATTTTTCTTTCAACAATTTTCATTTGATAATTTTTCTTTCAACAATTTTCATTTGATAATTTTTCTTTCAACAATTTTCATTTGATAAATTTTCTTTCAACAATCTTCATTTGATAAATTTTTTTTCAACAATCTTTCATTCTATTTCTGTAAAAAAGTCTGTACTAACTCTTCAAACTTAATGTTTGAATGTAAAGTAAGTTTGTATAATAATATAATAATTGTTTTCATTTCTTATATTCCAAAAATTTCATTCAAAGTATTTAAAAATACAAAATACAATTTTTAAAAAAGTAAGTCGAACACCATAACTAGCTTTCATCTAATATTCAATAATAAATTAGCCGGACCTACATATTCATCTATTTAAATACCATTCAAACTTTATACCATTGAAACATAAAAATCACAAGTAAATCTTGAGTTCAATTGTACTAAAATTCTTACCAAACCATTTCAGTAAGTCATTTAAAAGTTGCGAAAGTACCTCGTTTCAGTAGTACAACCCTGTTTTAATCAGACCGTTCCAGTTTTAAGTAGTATAAGACTTCATACAACCGACACGTACGAATGATACAAACGATTAATCCTCTACAAACAGTAGTCACTTGACACATCTTAAGCTGTATACGATTAACTCTGTTGGTGCATATTCAATGTTTTTTAACACGTGTTTGATCAAACTTTCATTTTATCACTGAAACTCGTTTACAAGCCTCTTATTTTAATTTACGAAATGTGTTAAGGTTATTTTTTTTTAAACTGTAATTTTTACTGAAATGAGGTATTATGGTGACTCATTTGTTTATTTATTTTTAATTTCAATTTATAAATGCATTAAATAAATCAATTTTCACATAAAATTTCAAAGAACACTTTATTTTATCTCTTACATAATTTGTAAATTTAATTTCGTTTGCTTTACTTAAACAGTAAATTAATTTTCTCAAGTCACAATTATTTACAATTTTTTAAAAATCCAAGGGAATTACAAATGACATCTGATAGACAGCTTGACAATATTTTTTTATAAAATAAATTTCATATATAACAACCTTTACAATTAATCAACACCATGATACATTCTTAAGCATCCCCAAAAAAGAACCTTAATACTAGAAAATTTCTTAATACCAGACGAGGAAGGTAAATTTTTAACACCCCAAATTTCCCTAAATTTAATATCCCTATATCACCATATTAACAAAGTTAAATTTCGACTTCAGTAACGCGCTGGATTACTACGCGTTGGATATCCACACGCTGGATTACTACGCGTTAGATTACCACGCATTAGATTCCTACGCTTAGAATTACCACGCGTTGCATTATTACGCGTTGGATCACTACGCGTTGAATATGCACGCGCTGGATTACTACGCGTTGAATATCCACACGCTGGATTACTACACGCTGTATTACTACGCGTTGCATTACTACGCGTAGAATTACCACGCGTAACACCCCAAATTTCCCTAAACTTAATATCTCCATATTATCCAACTAGCAAACATAAATTTCTAACACTCTAAATTCTCCTAAAATTAATATCCCTATATCATCAAACTAGTAAACTTAAATTTCTAACATTCCAAATTCCCTCAAATTTAATGCCCCTATATAACCAAACTAGTGAACTATTAAACTTCCTATAATAATAATATTAAAATTAAAGTGAAGTGTCGAAACAAATCCTTCCACGAGCAATTTCTTCACCTCCGCAACTAACAAACACAGAAACTGCTCGGCAACATGTTGTAAATTATTACTAATACGAGGCATTACAAGTCTGCTCAAACTTTATGTATCCAGGGCTTAAGGCCGAAGCAGTATCTCGCAAAGAGATTTATGCGTGTTCACTGACTGCATTCCGAATTTAATGAAACCTCCATGACTTCTGCTACAAAATTTATCGCCGCTTAAGATTTTTATGAATATTATTTCGCGCATGCGCGGGACGCTCGAAGAAGTTCTTTTGTCCTCAACGAGGATTTGCGGGTTGTAAACGCTCCAGTTTCGGTTTACTTGACTTTTTCAAGGTTTCTACAAAGTACACTTTGAATGTTCGTTTAACATATTCCATGAGATTAGTGACAGAGATTGTTTTGAGGTTTTGTAAGTTTATTTAGATAGAAGTTGAAGCACCTTGTATTTAGTTTAAACTATAGTAGTTTAATGTTGATATAAACTTTAAAACTAAACGTTAAAATTAGCTTAATATCACAAGAAAATATAGTAAATTTTTATTTGGTGAATTGACGTAATTTTAATCTACGTTGAAAGTCTTTTATAGCAATCTCGTATCTTAGTTTATTATTTTGCTTTAATATTACAAAGTAGTTTAATATTAAAGCTTAATATTACAATAAACTAGATTAACATTACAATAAAATTTGTTGAATTAAAGAGATTTGATTTTAATTTGCTGAATTAAAGAGATTTGAAGCCATTTTGTTGATAAAAAGCGTCTCCATGAGTGCATCAGCGTCTCCAAGATGGCCGCCGAAGAAAAGGCGGCAAATTTCAAACTTCAAACTACCAATCTTTCAAAATAATGAAACTAACAATTCTATTATTAAACTAATATATAATATTGCTAATTTACAATATATTTAGACAATGTAAACATAAAATAGTGTTACAATTATGAGTTCTATAGATTTATTTATATTTAACACAGTACAAAAATTGTTTATACTTAAAATTAAGTGTAGAATGAACTTATAGATGCAACTATAAGTTAAAAATAATAATTATTGTCATTGTAATATTGTATAAATTAATTTCGAGTTACTTAATCTTTATTATTTATGTTCTCTGTTATTTATTTTTTTTATCTCTTACATTACTTACATTTTTCGTTTCCCTGATTATATTTTCTGTTCATTACTGATCTTATTTTTTTTCTCATTAATTATGTCTTATGATGTTCATTGATAGTATGTTTCATTTTTCATATATATTTTTTTGCCAGTAATTTTCATATAATTTCATATATTTTTTGTCAATAATTTTCCGTATGTCAACAATATATTTTTTTGTATTAGACACTAGTTTTAATTTTGCCCGGCCGACTCGCAGCCCAATGGTTCGGCACCAACGAACTGTCCACGGCAACCTCCTTAGGTATTTTCGGTAATCAGCTCGGAATAGCTTTAAGTTTCCTGCTAACTCCGATGGTTGTCAAAAATCGCGCAAACGTGGAGGACATTGGTGACGATTTGTCGCGTCTCTTCTGGACCGTAGCGATTATCATCACGGTTATGTTTCTTCTAGTTGTAATACGTAAGTCTCTCCAAATAAAAAGTACAATTAAATCACAAGAAAATTATAACAAAAATAAATTTATTTAAAGTAGTTAAAGTTATCTCAAGTAAAAGTTACAACAGCAATAAAAGCGAATTGTGCTGAAAGACTGCAGATTGTAATACTTAACGATCAATTAATTTATTCGTACATTTATCTCGGTGAAACATGTTTCTGTATTGAGGCTACTGAAATTACATCTACTCAGTAAATTATGTATCTCGTTATTAATCTTGTTTGAAGAACAAATCCGATTTACCTCGGTTATCGATGGGTGTTTGTGATTTATAATGCTAATTTAAATCGTTTCGAATCTGGTGTGTTTCTTAATTACTTCTCTGAGAATTTTATCAGTTTTGTTACAATTTTTGAAATGTTTACAGACAGCTTATTACTATTTTGTTTCAATTTTTAATTTTAGTTGTCGATCTTTAAATGAAAATTTGAATCGAAGAGAATTTTGGAATTATGCAAAAATTTCAGAATTAAAATTTGTGTTATTGATGTTATAAGTTTTGCAAGTTTACGTAATGCAAGTTTGTATTAAGTATAATTGAATATATATATTTAATATATAGGGTGGTTCAAAATTGAGGACACATGTAGTGTATATAAAATTTTGTCCACCCTCCAAAAACCGTATTATTAATATTATAAATTTTACAAGTTTACGCAACGTAATATAAGTTTGTATTAAATATAATTGAACCGCAACCGTTTCACGAATATTAACTGTACACAGTGTTCGAAGAAAACCCGAAACTGCCACCGAGCAAAACCCGAGCTATGCAACAGTTGAATCAAATGGAAATGGACGAAGGTTTCATAGAACCCGTTAAAAGATTATGTAAAAACAAATCCTACTTGTTACTCTGCAACTCGTACGGTCTGAGCATAGGTGTATTGAACGTGGTAGGAACGCTGTTGAATCAAATGTATCTCGCACGTTTTGAGGTAAGCGGAAAACGTGGAAATTCATTTACAAACGATCGAAATTTCTAAATTTATTTAATATTAAACATTAGTGGGTGGTTCAACATTTTTTTTGCTCTCTAAAAATTTATGGTGTATAAATTGAAGTAGTATGGAGTAAGTCTCGAGGTTAATATTAATTATGGAACATTGTATTGCAGAATGGAGAAGAAGACGCAGGTAGAATCGGTTTGGTTATGACCATAACAGGGATGATAGGTTCAGTCAGTTTTGGAGTGCTTCTCGATAAAACGCATAAGTTCAAGTAAGATGGTCATGACACTGAATTACTGTTCTTTGTACAGAGTGTTTCACAATTAGTGTAGGTCCCTGAAATGAAGGGTAGCTGACGTGCTTCTGAATAAAATTTCCCTTTGCAAAAATGGGATTTGAAGCTTCGTTTCTGAATTATTAAGTAAAAACACGGACCAATCCGAGCGCGAGAATTATTACGCGTTGGATTACTACGCGTTGGTTAACTACGCGTTAGATTACCACGCGTTAGATTCCTACGCTTAGAATTACCACGTGTTGCATTACTACGCGTTGGACTACTACGCGTTGCATTACTACGCGTTGGACTACTACCCGTTGAA